AGAAACGAAATTTGGCTTTGGTTATCTAGATCAGGGTGCGTGGGAAAAAGAAAAGTTACTTTGAGTTGGCTGAGAATTGTTTCCTTTATTCACTCTATTTTACAATTGTAGACTCAGAGTAATCCAATTTAATTCTCAGCTTGCATTCTGACTTTGTTCCCTGGTCTTCAATTTTGCTGCATTTTCTTATGCTATTTTCCATTAGGAAACTTTCGGATTTTTTATTACTCATACTGGGTGGGTTTTTGAGTTATTCAAATTTTGAACAATTTAATTCCAAGCTAATTATCATCAATTCCTAACTATCAAGATACTCCTGGTTTTGATAGCATGTTATATTAGTAATTGTTAGGGTACATCTTGAAGTTAGAACAAAATTCATTCTTATCTAAAATGGTTACTTTGTATGATTTTATATTGCTGTTTGATCTTTAATTTAGAGAAATGGTTAATTTGCTTTTCCCTCTGTCACATCATGAAACAACATACTAGTTTTTTGAGTCAATGATAGATAATACAAAACTGAATGATTTCCTTCATCCTGGTTAACTTTTATGCTTGTAAAATGTGATTTTTTTGGTATGTAGAATCATTATCTATGTATGGTCTACTGTTACTATTAAAAATATTATTGTTATGCTAGATTTTGTTGCTTGACTATTCTAACCCCTTTTATTCTTATACTATTTGCTATTGTACCACATAAATTATATTGCAGTAATAAATGTACCATCTTTTTGTCCTTATCAAATGCAATATCAGATGATCTCGCCTTGGTTTAATGTAATACTGAAAACTTTTCTTAACTGTACACTTGTGAGATTTTTTTGAAATGCACATATATTTATCATTAGAAAACTGTCCCTCCCTCCATTGGAAGCAAAATATTGCTCCATTCCTGATAATAAAAGAAAAGTAATCAACTTATAGTCATAATTGAAAAATTAAAGTAGCTTATTATGTTCACTAACACATGACTACTCAGTTGAAAAGCTGTGAATTTTGGGAATTTCAAGAAAACAATATGTGAAATACCAAGAAAATAATATGTTGGTTTTCACAATGTTGAAGCATATGAATCTTTTCATCTTCCTTTCCTAATCACAGTGGTATAAAGTCAACTTTCCATGTGTCCCCAGGAAATAAAATATGATCATAGACCGTAAAATGGGGCAGGAAGTAGATGAAATAAGGTAGAAGGAATGACATTTAAGTGGAAAGGCTGGAGACTGTGGGATTATTTAAAAATTCAACTTTCTAGTTCCATTTACCAGCTTCTGAACTGATCATGTTATATGTTGTTTTATGCTAATTAAACATCATCTATAATAGTGTTAAGTGTGCTTGCAAGAAATGGTGCATATAGAAGGTCCACTTCCTGGCTCAGTGTAGTAGATAGAAGCAGGTGCTCCCTAAGCAAGCTGTTCATGAGGTAACATGTGACTCCTTAGTGGCAGCAGAATCATAGGCACAAGAATATTTTGATCAAAGGTTACAAGTCAGCTGTTCACAGGCCAGACCTGGACTACTGATATGTTTGGCTTGCCCAACTAAATGTTCTTTTGTCAACAAAAATAAGTTGCAAGCAAGAAATTGAGTATTTCCACATCTAAAAAACAATCAAATTTTTCTGTGTCTCTAAAAATATCAGAAGACCTAATAGTCTGGGCTGTCTGTAGGATAATAATCAAGCAGATGTAAGTAATGGCTCTCCCTTTGCACAGCACATTTGCTTCTTTTTTTTTTTTTTTGACAGGCAGAGATAGACAGTGAGAGAGACAGAGAGACAGAGAGAAAGGGCTCTTCCTTCCATTGGTTCACCCCCAAAATGGCTGCTACGGCCAGCGTGCTGCGGCGATCCAAAGCCAGGAGCCAGGTGTTTCCTCCCGGTCTCCCATGCAGGTACAGGACCCAAGCACTTGGGCCATCCTCCACTGCCTTCCTGGGCCACAGCAGAGAGCTGGGACAGAATTCGGCACCCCAACCGGGACCAGAACCCCGGGCGCCGGCATTGCAGGTGAGCATATTTGCCTTTATTCTGCCTTGGCTGTGACTACAGTGATTGCCTTGTATCAATCAGCTTCATTCATTATGGTACCTGCCTCACTCTTTCAAGTAACTTGTAGTTACCCCTGAGACTTTAACATTTATTCATTCAAATGTCTCATTTTTCTATCAAATCTGCATTTGTGATTTTTTTCTTATATTGATTAAAACAACTAAAACCTCTATTTTTAGCCATGTTCTCATCTCTGCTCCAACTTCTGTTTTCTAGTTAATTAGAAAATACTTGCTTCAGGCAAAATAAGCAGCCTGAAATTAATCATATACAATGATTAATCTAAAATTGAATTTTTCTTTTCCATATTACTTTATGATTGTTTATGATATTACATGCTTATTTTGACCATTGTCTGCAATAAAAAAAATTCCTCCTTCCTTACATACTAGTTTATTCTATCAAGTTTTACTCAATCATTAGGTATTTGTGGAGTATCTGTTGGTACTATCTGAGTAATAAGGAAATAACAATGATGTAGAAACCCTCTAAAAATAAACAAACCGGGGCTGGCGCTGTGGGCAGTGGGTTAATGCCCTGGCCTAAAGTGCCAGCATCCCATATGGGCACCGGTTTGAGACCTCGTTGCTCCTCTTCCAATCCCGCTCTCTGCTATGGCCTGGGAAAGCAGCAGGAAGATGGGCCAAGTCCTTGGGTCCCTGCACCTGCGTGGGAGACCCAGAAGAAGCTCCTGGCTCCTGGCTTCAGATCAGTGCAGTTCCAGCCGGTGCAGCCATTTGGGGAGTGAACCATCGGATGGAAGACCTCTTTTTCTGTCTCTCTGCTTCTCCTCTCTCTGTGTAACTCTTTCAAATAAATAAATAAATCTTTAAAAAATTAACAAAAACAAAAAAGATCAGTCAATGATAAAGTGATGTTTAGGAAATTACTGCATTATAGATTGAGTGGTTAGGGCAATTTTTTCTGAACAGTGATCATATAAGTAGAGATTTCCATAAAGATCTTTCACTCATGCAAAGAAGGAGAAAGAATACTCCACCCAAAAGGAACAGAGTACAAAGGCTCAAGTTCTAAGAGTTTATCATCTTCTAGCAACTACAAAAAAAGTCTAATGTGTATGGAAGGTAATGGTAAGGAGGGACTCTGTTATAAATGATATTCAGTGTCAGAAAAGAGGTCATGTGGGTTTGTCAACCATGTTAAGAAATTGTAATTTTATTCTAAAAGCAATGAAAACAGATTGAAGAGCTATAAACACGAGTGACACCATTTGCTATGGGTTGAAAAGATCAGTTTGGAATTCTCAGGCGGTCCGGTAGGCTAGCCAGTGGTAGCAGATGAAGAAGGGCTGGACTTACATAAGAGCCTGCAAATGGAGGGGCTGCTTGGATGGTGTGGTTGACATGAATCATTGGCAAAATTAAGAAAACAACAAGGGACTAGTGTTGTGGCATAGTAGGTTGCCAGGAACTCCGGGGAATTTTTAGCAAGCGATACATTTAGTCCCCTAGAAAATACAGCCTTATGATCAGTTTATTTTACCATATATATATACATATATAAAGGCCTAATACAGTATCTTTTTGCTACTAAAAATGTGAATGTGTGTCTATGTATTATTTTATTAATATATACCAAAACTTTTTATTTTTGATTTGAACGTGGAAGGAATCCCCACATCAAGACGGGAGGGTAGTAACACAAAATCCGTAGTTGGAGGATTGACAAGGGATGGGTGACCCAGCAGAACTGTAATTTGCTGGGCTGGAGCAGGAATATCATTCAGCGAAATGCGGACATTTCTCAGAGCTCTGGCTTGCAGGACTTAATTTAAAATTTATTTAGCCTGCATGGAATTTATCCTGATTCTATGTAAATGGGTTTCAGGATAAATAATAGAAATGTATTTGCTTAATTATGGTTAGTGATGTTCTTATCTAAACAAGCAGGGTAATCAGCTTTGAGATAAAAAAGTTAAGTGGCAAACCAGTTTTTACCTACATGTTGAGTGATTTTTAGGAAAAGCATTTGAGAGCTTTTTCCTGACTGTAAAAGTTCTGCAAGGTTATGCAGATGGCAGAATAATTTTGTGATTCTACTCTGGACTTTCTTTTACTCTCCCAAACTTAATGTGAGAGTTGGACACTTAGTATTTCTTTGGCTCAGATTTTTGGATGGATGTAAAGCACAAGTTGAGGAGCTGGCACCGTGACACAGTAGGCTAAGCCTCTGTCTGAGGCGCCGACATCCCATATGGGCGCTGGTTCGAGTCCTGGCTACTCCACTTCCGATCCAGCTCTCTGCTGATGGCCTGGGAAAGCAGTGGAAGATGGCCCAAGTGCTTGGGCCCCTGCACCCGTGTGGGAGACCCTGAAGACATTCCTGGTTCCTGGCTCCAGACTGGCCCAGCTCTGGCTGTTGAGGCCATTCAGGCAGTGAACCAGCAGATGGAAAAGCTTTCTCTGTCTCTCTCTCGTTCTCTGTGTTACTCTACCTCTCAAATAAACAAAATCTTAAAAAAAAAAAAAAAGCACAAGTTGAAAATCTGTTTGCATGCAGATCCAACAGTGTTATTGTGTGTAAGCCTCAAGCAACTAAAAAGATCGTAAAGCCCCAAATAAAAGCAATGCAGAGCTTCCAGAGAGGAAGGGGAAACGCAGACATGGATCAAGGGCACTAGATGTCAATCAGTACATCCTACAGGGAGACTACCAGAGAGGCTTAGCACAATAATTTGTTAAGAATCTGGGACCTTGGCACAATGCTGGGAGTTTGGGAAAAGCCTTAATAAAGACTGACATTGAATTTTCCATTGGATTTCAATTTAGTTAAAAGTAAACATGTTATTGCATAAGTTAGTGTATGTACTGTGAGCTTTAAGTTCAATGATTTTAGACACAACTGGATTAAGTAGAACTCATTTGTATATAAACATAGACTATAACAGAAATCAGTATGTGCATGTCAGGAAAGTACTTACGGCCAGGCAGCGTCTGTGCAGAAATCCAGTTTGATGCATTGCCATAGCCAGCATTGGTGCTGGCGGCCACTTGGAATCTATACCACCGAAATTTCTTTAATCCATATACTGTGTCTTCCGTTAGGTTAGCTTCATAGAGGTATTGGATTTTTTGATATTCAACACATTCTTCAGATTCCCATTCTCTGCATTTTTGAGCACGAAGCTGAGTGGTGATCTTGTAATTTTGGAAGTATCCAAGGATAGTTTCAGGTCTTATCCATGTCAATGTCGCACTTGTTGACTGAACATTAGAAAAAGTAATATTTGTGGGAACACTGGGAACTAAAAATAAATGGAAAAATTAAAATGAATAGAAATTATCAAACATTTTAAGCAGAAGAAAGAAGTGATACCGTATTCTATTAAGATGCACCTAATGGAGAACTATCCAGTTTTTACAGCACTTAAATTATTGTCCTTACACTTAATGAGCAAAAGCCCAAGGTGGTATTTCACAGACTATTTCATAAGGTAAAGCATAAAACTATGCGTTTTAAAATTCCTGTTTCCAAATTCTAATATACATGACTTATATAAAAATACTGTGGCTTTATATGGAGCAAAAATTTACTGCTACAGAAGAAAATACCATGCTCTTATCACCCTAAGTACTTCCCTGGTATGGTCTGAATTCCAATATTCAGTTCTCATGAAATTTTTTAAATTTAAATGTCTAGAGAGACACAGTCATAAGCATATCTCACATGTAGTAAGTGTTGATTATAAAACAACTTTAAATATTACGGAATAAATTAATTTACACAATTAGTTTATTTTATCTTGTTAATATTTAAAGTGAACAAAATCTTCTCTAGAACACTGATATTAACACACAGTTAAGGTATCTATATATCACCTACAATCTTGGAGTTCCTTATTAGATTTTACACTAAGCATTTGCTTGCTTTGAGCCTGGCATTAGAGATTCAAGATAAAATAAAGTTCATGTTCGCTTATTAAACACATGAAATGTTATGGTTATAAACAGGAAAGAACAGGGGCTGGTATTGTGGCATAGCGGGTAAAACAGCCACCTGCAGTGCTAGCATCCGATATGGGTGCCGGTTTGAGTTCCGGCTGCTCCACTTCTGATCCAGCTCTCTGCTATGGCCTGGGAAAGCAGTGAAGGATGGCCCAAGTGAGAGACCTGGAAGAAGCTCCTGGTTTCAGATCAGCACAGCTCCAGCCATTGCAGCCATTTGGGGAGCGAACCAGCAGGTGGAAGACCTACCCCTCCCTCCCTCTCTCCATCCCTCTTCCCTCCCTCCCTCCCTCCCTCTCTCTCTCCCCTCCCTCTCTCTCTCTCTAACTCTGCCTTTCAAATAAATCAATAAATCTTTAAAAATAAATTAAAAATTTTTAAAAAGAAATAGGAAAGAACAATGAATTAAGTGGTTTTGGAATGTTCTCCAACTATACTTTTGCTTATATATTTTAAACGCTTTACTAAGAAAGGAGATTTTAAAAATGGCAAATGAAAAGTATGTAATCTACTGAAACAACACACACATGAAGTAAACATCTGGTGAGCACCTCACATAGGAGGTACTATTGTAGGTGAGGGATATACACAAACAAAACAGACAAAAATCTCTGCCCTTGTGAAATTAAGGAAGAGTGCATGCAATAAAAATATAAATGCTATATAAAGTATTTTGGATGATATTCAATGTTATGAAAAAAATAAAGCAGGGAAGGAGGAGAGAGTATTTCAGGGATACTTAAATTTTAAATTGAGTGGCAGTGAAGGCTTTACTATTGGAAGGCAGAGTTCCAGGGGCTGACACCATGGCGCAGCTGGTTAAGCATCACTGGCAACACTGGCATCCCCTATCAGGGAGCCAGTTCAAATCCCGTCCGCCCTGCTTCCAATCCAGCTCTCTGCTAATGCATCTGGGAAGGTAGCGGATGATGGCCCAGATGGAGTTCTAGGCTCCTGGCTCTGGCCTGCCCAGCCCTATTTGGGAAGTGAACTAGATCTTTCTCAATCTCTCCCATTTTCTCCCTGTTACTCTGCCTTTTAAATAAATTAAATATATAAATATTTTTTAAGAAAGCAATAGAACAACAAAAAAAGTCAAGTTACTCATGAAGGTGGGGTGATAGCCACGTGAATATTTCAAGGAAGAAAATTCAGACTAAAATGCATGGAAAACACATGACTAAAGACCCTAAGTTGGAAGCATACCCGATATGTTTGAAGAATAACAAGGAGGCCAGCAAGACTCACAGGAGCTGAGTCTAAGAAAAGACACTAAAGGCCAATCGTGTACAAAATGACAGGAAATTGCTACGGCTTTCACCTGTGCAGGGCAGTGACAGCTTCTAACGTATGCTTTCACAGAATCACGCAAGCTGCTACGTTCAGAATAGACTGAGGGGAGACAAAGATGGAAACCAGGAGGCTGACTAATAGATTATGGCAATATGAGTGCCAGAATCATGGTGAACCGGCCCAAGATACAGCAGAAGTAACCAGAGGCATTCAGATCCTGAATATACTCTGAAGGCGAGTTGGAAGGATCTGCTGATGGGTGACATGTGAGGTGTGACTAGGAGGAGCAAAGGAAAGGCCTGAAGTCTGGGGATGAAGGGAACAGAAATGTGAGGTCACTCATAATCAAGAGCGATACCTCTGGAGGGAGAAAGAGTAAGCATGTATTTTGAGGAGGTTAACTTTGAAACTGCCTCTCTGCACCCAACAGGAGGCACCAAATGGTAAATGAATGCTTGAGCCTAGAGTCTAGTAGACAGAGTTCAGGACTTGAGTTGAAAATTTGGATTTCCTCTCAAAAGTTTACAGAATGGCCTAAGTTTTAGCTTCTATGTCAGATACTTCTAAAACATCCACAGAAAAATGGAATTAAAAGAACTTAATTTTAGTGTAGAAAAGTTTTGAAATTAATGCAGAATTTTCATAATACTTATTTTTCATGAACTTCCTGATGACCTTCACATTTGCCCAAAACTGAAAGTGGAGAGAAAGTCTAATGTAATGAAAACAACTTAAATTTAATAATTTCAAGTAATATTTAATTTAATTACTGTTTTCAAGTACTCTCATCATCAAATCTCACTATATCTAATTGAACTTTACAAATAAAACACTTAGTATACTATTTACAACACCCTCTTTCATCTTCATCTTTCATGAACAAAAGCAGTTACAGAAAACATTATTTTTTAAGAAAATTTTACATTTATAGAAGAAGTCATAGACCTGATTAAAAAGTAGACTATCTATAACTTATTCAAGTTCCTTGGTCACTAAATTTGAACTCAGGAAAAAAAAAGATGTAGTTTCCAAGTAGTCCAACCTAAAGCATAGAGCTATGAGTGACTTGGGGTTCATGAAAGGTTTTCAGAGGAGTCATGGCATATGAGATGGAATGTCATTATCTGCAATAGAGAGGGCCAAGAAGAAGGAATGATATGAGCTAGGTTTGTAGCTTATAATCCATGTTGGCAGTAACAGAGAGGCTGAGTAACTGCCTGAGGGCCTTAGGCATCAGAGGAGCGTGTAAATAGCTTTTCAGACAATGGAGAATTATCAAAGGTATCAGAATGCGATGTTCAGGAGTACAGTTTATCAAGTACGGTCTAGTTATCACACAACAGGAAAAATTCATAGACCACCAAAATTCATGGATTTGTCCAGGGAAAAAGAAATAAGTTGGTAGCAATAGGAAGTAAGTTATTTTTTTTTAGATTTGGGAGGTTGAATCCATAAGGAAAAACAAGAGAAAAATCATAGAATCTCAGAATCTGAAGCTCAGAGATTCTCAAGTTCTGCTTTTCTTTATCTGTGTGTCTGTAGGTGACCTCTACCATTCCCAGTCCTGTGTTCACACGATTGCTGGTTATTTAACCAAATACTCACCTATGTACAAATGGGAAGGAATTTTGTTGCCATAATTACTACAAATCAGTTTGCATTAAAATTTATATCCAGTTGATTTTATAACAAGAGTCTGAAAAGCAGAATGTTTTCTTCGACTGATTACAGAAGGGGAAGTAAGAGGTTGGAAGCAAGAGATGGATCAATGTACTAGTTTCCCCATTTCTGGCTTTGAAGAAGGAGACGTCTTGATAAATAATGTATACTAGCAGCTTGTGGGTAAGAGTCAATCAAGAAATGGGGGTCTCAGGTCTAGCTACAATTGCAAGGAACTAAGTTCTGTCACAGTTATGTGAGCTTGGAAGACACTGAATTCCACAAGGAAATGTAGTTGATTGACAACTTGATTTTAGTTTGTGAGACGATGGGCACAGCATGCCTGGATTTCTGACCTACTGATCTATGAGCTCATAAACGACTTTGTCATAAGCCAACAAGTTTGGGATGATTTATAGACTTTCCTCTATAAAATTACCAATCACTCGTTACAAAGCCTCTGCTTACGCATATAACGCAAAGGAAAACTAAAAAACTTGAAACCCTTTACATTTTTTTCAGGTAGCTCTATTTGTACAATATTCATTATGTTGAACTGATGTCTACTTTCCTGTAAATCTTAGCTCTGCACTGAAAAGCAACCCAAAACAGGCACAATCGAGGTTCATTTCCACTTCACTACAACATCTTATGCCACAGATCTAGAAAGATTTTGCTTTTGTCTCCCAATCAAAATTAGAAATCTACTGGGGAGGGATTTAAGGCAGCAGTTGTCTCTTAGTATACTGCCATTCCACACTGGAGTGCCTTCTTTGCATTCTGAATCCTCCACTCTGATCCAGCTTCCTGCAAATGCACCCCTTGGGAGACAACAGATGATGACTCAAGTGTGTGAGTCCATGCCAACAACGTGGGAGACACACACTGAATTCTGGTATCCTGGCTTTGGTTGTATTTGGAGAATGATTCAGCAGACAGATTTCTGACTGTCTGTCTTTGTCATTGTCTCTGTCTCTTTCTGTGTATCTCTGCATCTGCCTTTCAAATAAAATTGTTTTTGAGTTAGTATGTTTTTAATTTACATTATAGTCAAAGGCTTAATGCACCACTGGTTCTGCAAGTAAAAGCAAAATGACCACAGTTCAGCAGGAATATAGGCAAGAGCTACAAACAATAACAAAATGAAAAGATATTGGTTTCTCTCTCTTTTTTTAAAGATTTATTTATTTGAAAGGCAGGTTTATAGAGAAATAAAGACACACACACACACACATACACACACCCAGAGAGAGAGAGAGAGAGAGAGAGAGAGAGAGAGAGAATCTTCCATCTGCTGGTTCACTCCTGAAATGGCTGCAATGGCCAGCGCTGGGCCAGGCCAAAACCAGAAGCTTCTTCAAGGTCTCCCATTTAAGTGCAGAAGCCCAAGGACCTAGGTCATCCTCTGCTGCTTTCCCAAGTGCATTAGCAGGGAGTCAGATTGGACGTGGAGGAGCCAGGACTTGAATCGATGCCAATATGGGTTCCTGGTGCTGCAGGCTTTAGCTTAACCTGCTATGCCATGGTGCCAGCCCCAAGATATCAATTTCATTCATACACAGTAAACTTTAAAATAATCATAGATCATTAAAATTATAGCATATTATTCTTTAAAAAATAAATTCAAAATATTACAAACACAGCAAAATATGAATCTTTAGGTTATGTACATATAAAAACATCAATCTAGATTCAGGTTCTATCTTCCAGAGTCTATACTAATGCTTAGAATAAAATAGTCATGTAGGAAATATTTTTGGAACATATCAGCAAAGGAACAGAGGGTACAGCAGGAGACTTGATTTGGAAAGATGGTGAGTAAATGCTTTCCTTATACTTTCATCACAGATCAGAAGATAACAAGTAGCTTTCTGGATGAAAAACATCAGGGTATATTAAAATCCCGAGAGAAAAGAAAGCAAGGCACAGAGTAACACTCCTGGGTCGATAAGGTGATATATCAAAATAGAGAAAAGTGGAGATGAAGACCAGAATGACATAATTTTGAGTCCTCTAGACCTAATTCAAGACTTTTAGTTTCATTCAAATTGCAGTGGAGATATTTGGTAAGTTTTATACTGCTTTTTGCTTTCATTAAAATCCTACACTCTGCACTATCTCCTTGGGAGCCAGGCAGTGTGGTCCAGACACTTCCTTTCCTTTGGGTTCCTCCACCAACCATTCTTCCATGTTGAACTCTTTACTTAGTATAGAGTTAATCTTAAGTGTACAAAGTCAATTGGAAACAGATCTTACTAAAAATAAGAATGGGAATAGGATAGGGAGGAGGAAGAAGGGTGGGAGGATGGGTATGGTGTGAAGAAGCGCAATGTACCTAAAGTTGTACCTATGAAATGAAGTGTGCATACCTTAAATAAAAGGTTTCTGGGTAAACAAAATAAACTTCTTTCTATAGGAGTTGCTAAGCTGTTAGAAGTGGGAAGAACAAGGGACACATCCCTGAGCAAATGTACTAGAGAAGGTAGAGGAGTCCTCCCTTCCCACTTCCCATCCAAACAATGATTAGATGTCCACGACTCTGACCAACATTTTTTCCACCAATGGTCAGATTTTAGGAAAGACTTTAATGACAAATTTTGTAGCATCAGAATATTCTTCAGCTGAATCACAGACTCTGGTATTTTCCAAATAAGTTTCTCAGGGAAGAAAGTGTTTAAAAAGAGAAGCACCATAACTTGACAAAGAAACAGGATCTAGGCTATAGTTGTTCTTAACCTGGCCATGGGAAGTGTAACAATAATTTCAGTTGCTTCTCATGTAACAGGCTCTGTAATGGGTACTATTTGTTGACTAAGTGAATAAATTATGGTTCATAGAAACAGTCCTTTGATTTTTTTCATGTGGTACAAAACATAATCCACATTTTTCAATCAAATTCATTTAGAAAGATGAATGATAAATCTGATCTGAGACCAAATATATAATGCAACTCATAGACTTTTTTTCAACAAGGCAACCTCAGAAGTACTCATAAGTGACCAGCAGTAACCTTCTTTCATATCCAGTATCTTCTCTTTTGATGAACTGTGTGTTGAACTACACTATTTCAAGGCAACTACCCTATTGAATTACAGATACAAAAAGGATTACACTCATTTTAGCATGGAGAATCAGATTTCCATTCTTTAAGAATGACTAAAAACCTCAAACTTTTTTCTATCCACAGATGGTACTAATTTGAACACATCATTCCATGCTTCCTGGAGTAATCACACAGCTTGCTTAGATTTTCTAAACATGACTGAACTGTGATGAAGCGATCAACATTAACTGCCAAGGTATTCAGTAAATTACTTTTTTATTCATAAATTATTCTTTCTGGTGAAACACTTTTATCACAGTTGAAATGAGGGTCGGCAAATCCCTATAAAGATTTGTTACACTTTTAAATGCATGCCAGTTTTTGGTGACTCTTTAGTATATTCCATTAAGAATATGAAATGTATATACAAAGTAGTTTTGTATTAACTTCTGAATATTAGCAGCCTCTCTTGGTAGGATTCTGATCCTGGTTAAGTACACTAACATGGAAGACCAAGTTTCATTATTTATTTTATTTACTACTATTTATTTTGATCTTCAAACACATATACTCTATTTGTTAAGCAAAACAGAAATCTCAAAATTTATATTTATGTATTATAAGCCTTACAAGAGTATCAATATAATCTTTTCCAGCTTATAATAAATAGTTCTCTTTCTGGAGATTTTAAATAATCTACATTTTAAAAATACTAGGTACATAAATATAATCTAAGCACAAACAAAAGTACAGTTTGATAACACTAACACGTATAACTCAATGTAATATTTGAAGTTCCTGAAAAGTGCAAAGCACATTTCAGCACTGCAGATACAAGTTCAGCACTAATGAGTTAAATCAACACTATTTACTGTACATTCACACTGAATGTTATGGGTGTGTTAAGAATCTTAAGGTGTAGGCCAGTGCCACGGCTCACTAAGCTAATCCTCTGCCTGCGGCGCCAGCACACTGGGTTCTAGTCCCAGTCGGGGTGCTGGTTCTGTCCCGGTTGTTCCTCTTCCAGTCCAGTTCTCTGCTGTGACCTGGGAAGGCAGAGGAGGATGGCCCAAGTGCTTGGGCCCTGGACCCGCATGGGAGACCAGGAGGAAGCACCTGGCTCCTGGCTTCAGATTGGCACAGTGCGCCAGCCATAGCGGCCATTTTGGGGGCGAACCAATGGGAGGAAGACCTTTTTGTCTCTCTATCTCACTGTCTAACTCTGCCTGTCAAAAAAAAAAAAAAAGAAGAAGAAGAAGAAGAACCTTAATGTGTAAATTCTTGTATGTGTGTGTATATATAATAGTGTGAAATATGTATATAATATATATTCTATTAGCTGAACTATATATATAGCTTATATATAACCAGCTCAACCCCAAATATGTGATAACAGCAGGAAAATCTAATTGGAGGGAGAAGATCTAGATGTTGTAATTGAAAGAAAAAATTATAACTCAGTAGAGATGTGGAAGAGAGATGTTCAAGTAGGAAGAGCATGGGGACAGATAAAAATGTCAACAAAATGTTTGTCAAGAGTGGAGTGGTATGCTAGACTAAAGAAAAATAACCCAAGGAGTATTAAGGGGAAAAAAAGGCTATCAGGTACAGTTTTATTGAGAGAGCTGGTAGAAATTTGAGAGAGAATTTTAGATTATGTTTACTCTACAGACAACAGAATACAATTGATGGAGATTATTAGGTGATGTGTAACCTTAAAGAAAATCCGAACCTTAATATATCTTGTTATTATGGAAGGTAAATTTGAAGGGAAGTGGTTAGATATTATATATGTGAAATACAATATAGAATACAAAAAATCATTAAAAATGCATCTTTAAAATACAAAGAGATATTGGTGGAATATGATGATTACTAGGTAGAGATAAAACAGAAATAAAAAACTGAATGGTTCCAGATATTAGGTTAATAAACAAAAATGTAGGTTGCATTTGGCTCTGAGTGCTATAACAAACAATAAAAAAAGCAAATCAGGATTGTAAATCTCTGTGATAATGAATAAAGACAAAGTAATGGAACAAAAAATAATAATTTCAAGTTTTGAAATCAAAGACATAGGTCTCCTGAAAATGATGAAAAGAAGACACCATGTAATCTAATGAACACTGTCTTCAACATCCTTACATAGTAAATAGTGCACATGTTAAACTTGGCTCTCTTTTATAAAGTCTTTCAATGTAGGTGTGTGAAATAATTCTCAAACACTTTTGATAAAATGTTTTCTCCAGGGGCCGGCGCTGTGGCATAGCGGGTAAAGCTGCTGCCTGCAGTGGGGGCATCCCAAATCCCATCCAGCTCTCTGCTATGGTCTGGGAAAGCAGTAGAAGATGGTCCAAGTGCTTGGGCCCCTGCACCCACGTGGGAGACCCGGAAGAAGCTCCTGGCTTCGGATTGGCGCAGCTCCGGCTATGGCGGTGAACTGGGGAGTGAACTAGCAGATGGAAGACCTCTCTCTCTGTCCCTCCTCTCTCTGTATAACTCTGCCTTTCAAATAAATAAGTAAATCTTTTTTTTTTGCCTGCCTTTCTTTTAAAATTATTATTTTATTTCAAAGTCAGAGTTACAGAGAGGCAGAGGTGGAGAGGGGGAGAGAAGGGGTTGAGGGGGAGAGGTCTTCCATCTGCTGCTTCACTCCCCAAATAGCCGCAACAGCAGAAGTTGAGCCAATCCGAAGCCAGGAGCCAGGAGCTTCCTGCAGGTCTCCCACATGGATGAAGGGGGCCAAGGATTTGGGGCATCTTCTATGGCTTTCCCAGGCCATAGCATAGAGCTGGATTGGAAGTGGAGCAGCTAGGTCTTGAACCGAGTTCATATGGGTCACTGGCACCACAGCTGGTGGCTTTACCCACTATGCCACAGTGCTGGCCATATATAAATCTTTAAAAAAATCTTATAATAGAAGTTTATTTCACTTGCATGAAAGAGAACTAAGAAATTACCCATAAATAGGACTAATACTTGGTAAAATTTTAAGTATATGTTCCAAAGCATATATATTCTGGGGCCCAAAGTTCTGTAGAATTAGCTATAATTTTGATCTTTACACTTAGTATTATTGAATACAAAAGTATATTGTGAAACTTTGGTAAAACTTTTAGGAAAAAATAAGTAACTTTCACTATAAAGAAAAATGGAGGTAACTTGATTTATACAGTCATTAGTTATGACAGGTCTATACAGAAAGTCATCACATAAAAATATGAAATAACAACTTGATTTGAATTAGTTTATCTCAAATAGTTCTTAAGAAAGTAATCAGAGAACATAATTGTCTGTTAGGACCTTTCCTATAACTTCTGGAGACCAAATTGACCTACTGACAGTGATGAGGAAATTAAAAAGACATGCTACTTTCTATGGATTCACATGTAAATGAATATAAACATGTTAGTATTATGCATTACCATGGATCAATAGAGTTGTCTTGGGAGAAGTTATGTTCACATAAGAGATCAGGTAAAACCAATTCAGAAATAACTATACATACAGGCAGTTAAATTCATGAGTCAATAAGCAGTTGAGGGTAATTTATAACATCAGAACAGCAAATGATGAAGAACTGAATCTCTCATCAGTAGTTAATGGACACTGACACAGAAAAGGTAAAAAAGGCTGATACTTAATAAATATTTATTTAAAAAATAAAAAAAAATTAATGAATGGGTAGACAGATGCATGGATGAAGGGATGGACAAATGGATTTTAAGAAGAAAAGTGTCACCCTTGCTGACTGTAAATGGATCTTACTTAAAAACAATTTTTATCTTCTAAAGATTATTGCTATAGCTATACAGGAAACTTTTATTTATTAAAATATAAAAGAGAAATCTTGGGTATAAATTTTTAAAAAAGACCTATGATAAAGAATAAAGTATTGGGTTTTTCAGGGATTTCATGCGATGGAAGAGAAAGAAAGACACACAGACACAGACACACAGACACACACACATACACACACACACACACTCATTACAGGAGAAAAGTTCAAAGGATAATTGATATTGGAGAATGTGTTGAGCAAAGCATCCAGCAATGAAAATTCCTGGTTCCCAAAAGATGTTTAAGAATAAAAATATCTAATGATCAATTTAAACCCTTCTTTATAGCCATCACGAAATGTTCATCAGAGCTATAATAAACAAGAATGCTTGGTGTAACCAGAATTTTTGCAAAAATCACAAGGGAGTTCAAATTCATATTTTGGGCCAGGGCCACAGCTCAATAGGCTAATCCTCCACCTAGCAGCGCTGGCACACCGGGTTCTAGTCCCGGTCGGGGCGCCAGATTCTGTCCCGGTTGCCCCTCTTCCAGGCCAGCTCTCTGCTGTGGCCCGGGAGTGCAGTGGAGGATGGCCCAAGTGCTTGGGCCCTGCACCCGCATGGGAGACCAGGAGAAGCACCTGGCTCCTGGCTTCAGATCAGCGCGATGCACTGGCCACGGCAGCCATTGGAGGGTGAACCAACGGCAAAAAGGAAGGCTTTCTCTCTGTCTCTCTCTCTCACTATCCACTCTGCCTGTCAAAAAAAAAAATTCATATTTTGGAAAAGTCAATTTTTCAAAAGCACCTGAAAATGTACACTAAAATATTTCAACCCCAGAACATAGTAAGTTTGGAAGACATTGATATGCTTATAGTTTGTATCAAATTAACCTTCTTGCAGATAAGAAGTAGAATCTCAAGGGAAGAGAGAAACAAAACAATCTACTGGCTTGAGCTATCAGAAAAGAAAACAGAGAATGGAGTTGCAGCAGTAGTTGGAAAAGAAGAGTCACAGAAGGTTATACACAAACTTTGGTTCAAATATGATACAAATATGATACAAATCATGATACAAATATGATATTAATTTACAAATACAAAAAAGAATCAGTGAATCCACAGCAATGAAAATGCAATGAAAACCACAGTAGCCATATCATTGTCAAAGGTACCCTGAAATCCTTGTCTAACATCATAATTATATATGTATTATTGAGAATACAAGGAGCACAAGAGAAAAAATACTAGCTCAAAGCCCAAGAAAAAATGTTAGCTACCTCTCAATGCAAAGGAGACAGAGTTTTGGATTTAAATTACACCAAACTCAGAGATTGGTAAACAGCTCACACTTCATATCAAAACCCCATAAGGGCCATACCTTTGATTTGCCCTATTTCCTAGAACTAAGAATTTCACCCCATTAATAAGGGTGGAATCAAAGCAATGCATTAAATCACAAATCCATAAAATACTTATTCAATAATTTAATTGCTTGTTAGAACAAAAGTCAACACTCTCCAGAGTGTCTATGAAACAGCACTAACAATGTCCAGCATAAGTTTAAAAACTACTAGACAGCTAAGAAAATTATTAGAGACAGAAAAGGTAACTCAAAGTCAAGAGGAAAAGTGGTCAGCAGAAACATCACAGGATAAACCATGATCTAAGAACTAACAGAAAATAACTTTAAAGACACTAATATAAACATATTTGAAATAATAGAAAAATGTGAATCATAATTAGAAAATAAGGAATTTCAGTAAAGGGAAATAAAACAGAATCAAATGAAAAATGTCAAATTTAAAAACACAATATCTGAAAAATACTCACTTAGCACCAGATTAAAAAATTACTTACTTACTCAAATTAAAATTAACTAAAAAATTACTTAACACCAGAATATAGAATACTACAGCAAAGCCAGTGAATTTGATGACAAATCAATAAAACTCCAACCAGAAGAACAAAGAAAAGGAAACAGGCTCAGTCATTTACAGGATACCCTAAACAAGTATGTTACTGGAGTTCCATAAGGTTCAGATAATGATAAAGGGGCAGAAAAATGAAAATGTAATTCTTTTTTTTTAGGATTTATTTTATTTATTTCAAAGATAGAGGTAGAGACAGTGAAAGAGGTCTTCTAGCCGCTGGTTCACTCCCCAGATGGCTGCAGCGGCCGGAGCTGAGCAGATCCAAAGCCAGGAGCCAGGAACTTCCTCCAGGTCTCTTATGTGGGTGCAGCTTTCCCTGGCCATAGCAGAGAGCTGGATCAGAAGTGGAGCAGCCAGGTCTTGAACCAGTGCCCATATGGGATGCCAGTGCTTCAGGCCAGGGCTTTAACCCGCTGTGCCACAGCACAGGCCCCGAAAATGTAATTCTTAAAACTTGGAAAATATTAATTTACAAATACAAAAAAGAATCAGTGAATCCACAGCAATAAAAATGCAACGAAACCACCGTAGCCATATCATTGTCAAATTGTTTAAAAAGGCCGGTGCTGCGGCTCACTTGGCTAATCCTAAACCTGCGGTGCCGGTACTCCGGGTTCTAGTCCCTGTCGGGGTGCCGGATTCTGTCTGGGTTGCTCCTCTTCCAGTCCCGCTCTCTGCTGTGGCCCAGGAGTGCAGTGGAGGATGGCCCTAGTGCTTGGGTCCTGGACCCGCATGGGAGACCAGGAGGAAGCACCTGGCTCCTGACTTCAGATCAGCACAGCGCACTGGCCGTAGCGGCCATTTGGGGAGTGAACCAACGGCAGGAAGACCTTTCTGTCTCTCTCTCTCACTGTCTAACTCTGCCAGTCAAAAAAAAAATTGTTTAAAAGATAAAGATTTTTGAAGAATGTGAAAAAAAGACCACAGTTCACATCTAAAGCCTAATGATACAAATAGCAGTCCACATCGCATTAGAAATAATGGATGCCAGAATACAAATGAATGACATAGTCAAATTCACAGAGAAAGAAAAAAACAGACAGCCCAGTTTTATATGCGGTGAAAATACTCTTCAAAGACAAATATTTATTATTTTGGTTATTATTAATATGATATAGTATTTGTTTTTACTATAAGTAAAATCTGAGATAGTTTGATATCAACATATCCAAACTGCAAGAAATGCTAAAGAAAGTTCTGCAGCAAATAGGGAAATGATATGGATATAACTGATGACTACAGAAGTAAACAATATCAAAATTTTAAGAAATTTTCTTAATATGCAATAATCTACTAGCTGTATAAGTAAAAATGATAAAATAAATTGTGGTATGTATAGTATACATTAACATAAACTCTTTGAAATCCATTCAATGCATACGGGGGATCCCCCAAAATTTCAAGATAAATATATATGGTGAAAAATCTATGCATAGATTTTAAGAATTTTTTATATCAAAATAAGCATTTCTAAAGATTTATTTATTTATCTGAAAGGCAGAGTTACAGAGAGAGAGGGTAACAGAGATTGGAAGTTGAACAGTTGGGACTCGAACTGGCACCCTTATGGGATGCCGATGCTGTAGGCCATGGCTTTAACTCACAGAGCCACAGCGCCATCTCCCAAAATAAGCATTTTTAATTCTAGTTTTCCACAAACTTTGTGATATACCCTTATATGTAGTTGCCAAATGCATGACAATCACCATACAAAATATGAAGAAACAGATGAAACCATACTGCTGTAAAATTTGCACATTTCACATGAAGTCATACAGTATTGTGGATATACAGCAGAGATGGCAGCATAGCAGCAGGAGTGATAGTGCTGGAAGTAAAACTGAGGCAAACGCAAATGGAATTTTACAACAAATAGCTGACATTGCTGCTGTTCAAGAAACTTCAGGTGTGCAGCCGGGGCAACTTACTGGAGGCAAACTGAGGGACACGGATAAGAAAGGAGGAGGTGATGAAAAGCTTGACGGACCGTGTCCCAAAGGAAGTAATGCCAACAAAAGCCTTGCATTTTGGGAACGCTGTCAGATTTTTCACAGCTCCGAAGGAGCAAAAGATAAAATGCAGGAGGCTGATCCACACTTTTGAAGGAGTGTAACAATTCAGCAAGGTTTAGAAAAGACATCCTCTCTACTCTAGTCAAAACAAGGAGAAAAAGAAAACAATCACTCCTGGTAAGGTTTTTTTTTTGTTTGTTTGTTTTTTAATGACATGAAATACTTCAAATGTTTTAAATTACAGAGTACTTAATAAATAGTAATTCAAGTTTTTCATTTCCCTATACATTTATTATAGAAATAAGAGTTTAAATGTTGCAACAAAAATATAGAAGGTCAAAACAGTTAAAATTTTCCCTGTGGATTATTCTGATTGCTCTGCATAAATCCAGCTTGTTTGGTCATTTTATGGTCCTGTACTACCATGGAAAGCAAGGATTGCCTGCAACGAGTGTCCAGTAATCACATGACAGTGTTCAACATCATTAATCAGCAAGGACATGCAAATTAAACTTACAATAAGATGGATACCCTTTTATACCACTATAATGGCTAAATTAAAAAGACTGGTAACTGGGGTCAGCATTGTGGCACAGTTGGTAAAGCTATCACTGCCTGTGATGCTGCTGTCCCAGCTGCTCCACTTCCAATCCAGGTCCCTGCTAATGGCCTAGGAAAAGCAGCAGCCGAAGTCCCAAGTGTTTGGGCTCCTGCCACCCATGTGGGAGAGCCAGATGATGCTCCTGGCTCAACCCTGGCCTTTGTGGTCATCTGGGGAGTGAACCAGCAGAGGGAAGATCTCTCTACAACTCTATCAAATAAATAAATAAATCTTAAAAAAAAAAAAAAGACTGTTAACAGCGAAGTCTGCTAAGAACAAGAAGAATTTATAAGTCTCAAACATTGCTTTGGGGGTGTGTAATAAATTACATTCACTTTACAAAGCTGTCACAATCTTAAACCGTTAAACACCAACAGCCTATGACCCAAAAATTTCAAAAAAAAGTTTTGTACCAAAAGGTATCTAAGCAGTTTTATTCATAATACTCAGTTTGACACAATTTTCATGTCCACCAAGAGAAAACAGACACACAAAATATACTCATGTGATGGAAAATGACACAACAATAAAAGAACCAATTACTGAAACTGTGGTTTCACAAAGATGTTGAAAGAAGTATGCCAGACATCTAGTTTAAGGAGAACTGAAACTAACCACTGCTGATGAATTCAGGACAGTGGTGGCCTGGAGCAGTGGGCACAGAGGAAAACGTACTACAGGAAGAATGTTCTGTATCTCTGGGTGGTGGTTACATGGATGATGGCATTTGTCAAAACTCACTGAATGATGCACTTAAGTTCTGTGTATTTCTGTGTATCATTTTCCATAAGTAGCAAATATAACAACATGAAAAGCGAAGAGCTTTCTCAGGAAAATATAGTAGTAACATTCAAATAAGTCACAAGTGTGCTGAGTGTGTGTGCATCTCCTGGTACTTTCTGAATATTTTATAAATATAGACTATTACCATAAACTATTATGTTAATATAGCTATTAACATAAAACTGTGAGCTTTGCTGTATTTTTCACTTCTCCATTCTAGGAAGGAAGTTTGAGATTAGCCCAAGAATATCAACGGCTACTTTCAACGATGGCTTGTCCTTGTTCAATCTGCAGACTCTTTCCAATAGTATGTCTGAGGATAGCA